GAGGCGCCGGCTCTCGGGGGTGGTCTCCAGCACCACCCAGCTCCCGGTGGACCTCTGCTTGCGCCTGCACCGCCAGCTGGGAGCAGCTGCGGGGTCTGGGCTGGGCCGTGGGTGGGAGCGGGCCCGAGCCCACCACCTGCCCCTGGATCTGCTCGTAGGACGGCAGGCTTTTCTCATAGGTGCTGGTGGCCTCTTGGTTGGGGCAGGGTACAATCAAGCTGCGGGTGAAGGAGGAACAGGGTGCTGAGCAGGAGCTGGACACCCGCAGAGCCAGGAGATACTTGGGGACATGCACATAGGACTCCATCAGGTGCTTTAGAGGCCACTGAAGCCACACCACTGCCCACGCCAGCAGCAGAGCCAGCAGGTCCTTGCAGGGGGGTGCCTGCAGGAACGCAGCTGGACGCTTTGCACTGTCCAGCATCGCTCTGGCTCTGGCCCTGGGGGACTCAGCCAGCCCCTGCCTCCCCCACCCCGGCCCCTGCTTGTCATTTTTTGCTGCAATAGGTGTAGTTGTCCCCGGTGGCAGTGTGCTCAGACACTGCCCTTGTCCCCAGGGGCATGCAGATAACTGTGTGTACAGATGGAAACACCCACCAAAAGGAAAACGGCCGCTGGGGCCGGGCACTGGGACCTACCAGGTGTCCCTCTCCGGCAGTACGATGGGTTTGTGGTCCAGGAACCGCTCGGCCTCGAGGTCCACAGGGACGAATGTTATCTGGGGGGAAAAGAAACACAGCGCCCGGGGGGCTGCGCTGGGCATCGCAGGGACCCTCAGCCCTCGTTAGTGGTAAAAAGTCCAGGGTGTCCCTTCAGCTGGGTTTTCGGTCTTTTCCCAGCCCGTTTGAGCGTCTTGTTTGGAAATGTTTTTTTGGGGAGAAATCAATAAGGGATTGAATGAACCCACCACTGCCTCGCTCTCAGCCCCTTGTTCCCTGCAGGGTCATGCGTGTCCCTGGGCCCAGGGGGGATCCCAGGGCACACGAGGGAGGTCAGTGGCCAGGGACAACCCCAAGGGTGCCCCATCCTTGAGCCCCAAGCACAGTGACAATGTCACATCTCCCTCCTTGCCGGGGCTGAGCTCAGCTTTTGGGGGAGCTGGGGTCAGCTTCACCCCAGTCCCAGGGGACTCGGCCGGTCCTGGGGGTCCCAGCTGGTCCCGAGTCCTGGGGTCCCATGCACCAACCCGCATTTTGGGGTGCAGCCAACCTGTTGATGGGCCATTCTGCAGCACTGAGATCAGCCTCGCAGCCACCCGCTCCTTGGAAAAAAGCCTTTCCTGCCAGCTCCGTTTCCCGGGGCAGGGACGCGTGGCCACCCTGCTGTGCTGGTGGTGCCCTCTGCCAAGGAGACCGGCAGGTGAGGGCTGTGCTTGGGGGGGCTGGGACCCTCTGGACCTCCATGGCCATGACAGCCCCTTCTTCCAAAGCTCTGGGAGCCTGCGAGCCCCCAGCCCCCACAGGTGCAAGGAAGGGGCTGGTTTGGGGGGGATTTGCATGGGAGAGGTGAACACGAGCTGATTTCCTTGGGTTTATTCCCCACTGCCCGCTTGGCAAAGACCCAGCCTCGGGGCACAGGGGGGCGAGGGAGAGGGGCCACATCCTGCAGGCATCGGCAGGGAGGTGTAGCAGGGTGAGAGCCCCCAAACCAACCGTCCCCCCTCCGGATCGCCCCAGCTGGCTTTCTCCCGCGGGACCTGCCACTACCCCACCCTACGGATGGGGAAACTGAGGCATAGCCCGAGGCTACACGTCCGCAGTAGCAAAGTGGGACAAAGAGCTGAAGCCACCCAAACCCGGCTGAGCCCTCGAGCTCCCTGAGGTGCACAGTGGTGGGACAGACCCTACCTTCGGGTAGCACTGGCACATGCTCCAGGTGATGCCCACAGCTATGAGCAGGATGCCTAGGGTGCAGAAGGTGATGTAGATCTGGGGCTTTTCCACGCTCATGATGAACATTCCCGTCATCACCAGGAAGAAACCCAGCATGATGAACCCGTAGCGAAAGGTCTTCTCCTCGGCCATGGGCACCGGGTGGGAGAGGCAGGGGAGGAGAGATGCCGGGAAGCCCGTTTACTTGCGGCTGCTGCCTGCTGAGCACACCTCCAGAGTAAGGCAAGGAGTGGTTTCTTTCTCTGGAGGCTGCCAGGGGCTGAGGATCAGCTGCACGTTGAGCCTGGTCCTGCCCAGGGCTGAGCCAGCCAGTTTTTAACGGGTTTGTAATGAATGCAAACACCAAACCGCCTTTCACAC